CTGGCAACCCAAGCCACTTAAATAGAAAGAAGGGTCCTGACACTGGAAGAAGGGTTCACATGTTGCTCAGTGGAGAGGTAGGATATATGCCATTAACTATAAATCTTCACTGTAATAACTAATAAATTGGAGCTGTTAACATTTGATAGGAGAGGCAGCAAAACATATCATCTTTAAAGGTTTCTCATTCTAAACTACAAACAGTTTTGAAACACTGTGGGGGGAAATGGGCATTATGGCCCATGCCACACACCTATATGCTCACACCTATCTATAGCTAGAAAACCTATACACAGAATTCCTAAAAGACAAATCAATCAACAACTCTGAAATACTTAAAATGTGACAAAGGAATATCTTCTTCTCCAAGTTCAAGACAAATGCAGAAGCAAAGCACTATATTAAGTTGGTCAAATATAAAGGGAAAAATGCAAAGTATGTTCCAAGTATATGCAAGACTTCAGTACTTCAGTCATTCCACAAAAGACAGCCACTAAACAGAAAAAAAGAAAACACAGGGGGACTTCCGGCTTTGGCGTCTTGCTGGCAGGTACGCTCCATCGCAGCTCTGATGAGAGCGGCCCACAATCGCACCAGGCGGGAGGGGTCCCGGAATACTCCGCCCCCCTGGGCCCTCCGAGAGGGCTCGTAGCCTGGGGCTTGATGGAAGCCTCTCCCGAGGTGACGGCCAAAGGATCGAGGCTTCCTTTTGCCCCAATAGGTCCCGCCAGTGCGAGACCAGCCATGGACTTAAAAAAGCATACCGGAACAAGCAAGCAGGATACCTGGCGTTAAGAGACTTTCCCCGTTTTTGGGCACAAGCCGAGGAGTAAAGCGTGAGTGACTATTTGGCAAACCATGCAAGCACTTAGACGCAAACCCACAAAACCGCTTAAAGAGCCCCAAATACAGTGAAGGGGGGGAGGCTACCCTACCCCGGGAAAAGCAGCTGAAAAACAAAGAAAGTGAGGGGCAAAACGGCGGCTTTGATGAGAGAATGTTAATTCAACAGACTAGTGTGCAGACTAGAAGAAAACCTCTACTTTAAAAAACTTTCAGAAGCAGTAAAAACTTTTACCTTTAATGTAAACAATGTCTCATTGGGGTGAAAAAATGGCGCCCAGAGTGAAAGTTTCTTCAGGAACTGCCAGCTCATCGTCTCTGGCTTCCAGGGCGGAAGTAACCACAGATATTTCCAAGATGATTACTGCAGCATTGTGCCCTCTACTGGACCAGATGACTAACCTGAACAACAACTTTGAAGCTCTACAAAAAGAACTGAAAGAAACCAATGCAAGAACAGAGAAGACAACTAAAAAGCTGAAGAAGGTTGATGAGAAGACGAATGTATTGAATCAGAGAATGGAGGTAGTGGAAAAAGAGAGAACCTCCAAGAAACAACAGCTGTTACAACTTCAGTTGGAATGGTCAGCATACGTCCTGAGATTTCAAGGTATTCCAGAGCAAAAAGATGAGAACCTGAAAGAGATTCTAAGCTAAACTCTAGCTCCCGTGGCAGGTTGTAAAGCAGAACTCTTACAAAATGACTTGGATATGGTATACCAAACCTATCCAGAATTTACCAAGAAAAACAACCTACCTGGTGAAGGATTTGTGAAATTCTCTAAAAGGTCAACAAGGGGTATGATTCTGAAAGCGACCAATGGAATAACCTTAAAAATCCAAGGAGAAGAAGTGAAGGTCTTAAAATGTTCCATTTGAGGTGAGAAAGAGGAAACAATATAAAAATCTGACTTCATTTCTACAGAAAAACGCTAATCCCTACAGATGGATAATCCTCGAAGGACTTATCTTCAACTTCAAAGAGAAAAAAGAAAAGATTGACTCTGTCCTCAAAGCAAAAGCATTTTTGGAACAGCATCAAAGTCTAGCGAAAGAAAAAAGGAAAGTAGAAGACAGTATCGTTACAGACGATGTTGGTGAACATGGTTCCAGAAGCAGTGACAGCTCCTCAAGTAGCTCCCTAGAGGAAGTTTTTGACTCTGAATCAGAATTAGGAGCCACACCCCTAAATCATTTAAGGTTAGGCTGCCCTTTGATGAGAACAAACGTGGAGGGAAGAAAATAGCTAAATAACCCGATTCTGAAAGTCTGTTCTCTCTTTTGTGTTTATTTAGTAGAATGCACACACTATAGCTAATTTTGTTTGCACTGTTTAAGATAGAAATATCAATTTTTAATCTCCGACTATCTTAAAGCTAAACAATGAGGAAATATCAAGTAACTGAAGCTTAAAACATTTTTGATCCCTGTTTACTCTGTATTTTAGTTTAGATTATTCCTTTTCCCTATACCCTGTAGTGTGTAGATAAAAAGCAATTAAAAAAATAAAAAAACCAAACATGAGAAACATGAGACACGACATACAGTAAATATACATGTACAAACGAGGTCCCAACCAGGAGTGGTCATTCTGACTTGTAAGAGATATGGAGCTGAACCTACTTGGAATATTTTGCTTGGGATCTCGTTTGTACATGTATATTTACTGTATGTCAGTGAAGACTTACCTGATTTACCTGACAAAGGAACAGTTCTGAAACACTGACTATCCGGGACTACTAAATTTCCACTTGGAACAGATCCTATTTTTATAAGCCACGATATACAGGTGTTCGGACTTCAATTCAAGGATTTATATAAACAATACTTTTCTGTTGTGTGCTTGTTTTGTTAATGAAGAAAGTCTGCTGCTTTAGAGATGTGCTGTGACTTATTGTGGGCTTGAGTTTGTTACCACCCACTTTTTTAAAAATTTCTTTATTAATTTTAATTTAATGTACAATACAGTATTCAAAGATACACCCACTTTTTTAATTGCTGTTTACAACATTTATGATTCTACAATAATATATATCAATTTGGTAAAATTATCAACTTTGGTTCCTATGTAATTATTATTGCATGTACTTAGTGTGTTTTGACTGGCCCCACTGCTGGACCTCCTGATGGCACCTGGTATTTTTGGCCACTGTGTGACAGAGTGTTGGACTAGATGGGCCATTGGCCTGATCCAACATTGGCTTCTCTTATGTTCTTACGTTCTTATGACTACAGATTTGTTTGTGATTCTACTGATTGTTTTTCTGTAGCCCCCCTCCCCCTTGCTAGTAGCTGGAAAAACACCAGCTTGGCAAGGTTTGTGTTCCGGGCCTCCATTGAAAGGAGGCATCCAGTACCATGCCCAAACTCCTGACAGTTTGCGCCAGTGTTAAGGGCACACCATCAAGAGTGGGGACTTGGCATCCCAACCCTGAATCCCAGCCACCCAGCCACAGAATCCCCATCTTATTTGGATTCAGTCTCAGCCGGCTCTTTTTCAACCATCCCACCACAGCCTCCAACCCCTTAGCCAGATTTTGTGGGGCACTGTCTGGACAGCCACCTATCAGCAGATACAGCTGGGTGTCATCAGCATACACACCAGTCCAAAACTCCGCACCAGTTGGGCAAGGGGCGCATATAGATGTTAAACAGCATTGGAGAGAGGATTGCCCCCTGAGAGACCCCACATATCTAGATTAACTTTCATTTTCTTTTACATGAAAGCGTAATGTGAATACCAACTAAAAAACAAAATGATAAATCAATACAAACTACATAAATCTCACTAATACATGTGCCACTAATACACTTAAGCAGAAATACATGCTGCAACCAATACTCCCTCTAAGCTGTGGAGTCTTGTGAGCAAAAATTCTGCTTTGTGAGCTACTGGCATTAAAGTTGTGAGCGAGCAATTTGGCTACTGCAGTTTGCTCTGGAGCCATCCTTCCTGAGCTGAGACAAAAATGTTTGAGCCAGAGGCTAAAAAACTGTGAGCTACCTCACACTAACTCAGCTTAGAGGGAACATTGGCTGCAACCTATCTATTTCTATGTTTCTACCCTAGATGAAGTTCCCCATTTATACGTACTGATCCATGTTTATCAAATGGTGTCTTAAATAAAGACAATTGAACAAAATTTTGCAACACAGATGACCTAATAATTACCAAATGAACAAAACCCTCTCCATTCAATCCATTGCTGAAATCTAACAATCTGACAATAAATGAAGTTTACACCTAACTTTTCTATTCTTCACAGGATTATTACTATCCTAATACAGGTTGCCAATACATAAGTATAATTTGTATCTTAAACCCAGCAGCATAGAAGTTGACATCTTCTAACATGGTAAAGAACACAGCAAACAAAATTAACACAATATATAAGACTCTCCAGTAGGATTTTCATAAGTATGTCAATGGCTTGCATTACAAACATACTTTAAAAACAGGCACTCAATACATTGCCTATGACAAGTAATTATCAGCAAGCAGCCAGGAAAATAAGCTTTTGTAAACTGGAAGAGTTTGTTCTTCTTTAACTCTGATTTTTAACACAGATGTTGGAAGCAAGAAAACAAGCAGGCAAATAAAATACATGAGGGCTTGTAACTTTTATGCACAAATCTGCAACCTGAAATCGACCCTACTGTTAGATTCCTTCATTTTAGGTGTCCTTTTCACAGAACAGAAGTGTTCCATAAAATAATGGATGTCTCCATTTCTAAGCTTCATGTAGTAAGGAAACTAAATTCCAGGGTGCCCCTGAATATTAACATTCCATTTGGGCAACTCTACTTGTGTACTGAGCAATTCAGATCCAAAGGTGCAGGCATGCAAATTATACTGAAAGTATGCTAATTCCTGAAATATTACATAAGAACAAACTTTAATGAGTATTTTGTTTGGTTAACTTATGCCCCACTCCTCAGATCTGCTGTACCACCACATAAATACCGAATTTGGAATTTTTCAAAAATAGCCAACGTATCACAACTAAAGTTTTGTGCAGGATTACAAGAGTTTAATGACATCACTGAAACTATATGAGTAGAAACAAGACAGGGGTAAGCACCCCAAAACAACACTTTAAAACAACAGGATCTGGGGTCCTGAAAAAAATAGTTTATATACTATTGCAACACAGTACCTCTGAAGAGCCCTCATTGTTGACATCCACATTTCCAGGGATTGCAGATGATTCGGAGTCAGAGCTCTGAGACCCAACTCTGCCTGGAGTCTGGAAAAAAAAAATTAAGCTTTGTAAAATGGAATGAGAAATGGCCCATGTACAGAAAATAACATTTTAAAGTTTTTTTTAAAAAAATAATAATAATCTCCACAGAATAAATACATTTATTCAGAGACTGTATCACTCCAGTCTTGTTCTACCTACACCACCTCCCAATTTGCTTCAGGGTCCAATTGAAGGTGCTGGTATTGGCCTTTAAAAGTCCTATATGGCTTGGGGCCAGCTTACTGTAAGGACTATCAATTCTCCTATGAGCCTACCCAATCACTATGGTCATCTTCAGGGGGGGGCCCTCTGGGTGTCTTTACCATCTGAGGTTAGACAGGTGGCAACTCAAGAACAGGCCTTCTCAGTTGTGGCACCAAAATTACAGAATTCCCTCCCCTGGGAGATTCATTTGCCCCCCCCCTCTACCAGTCTTCTCCCAGTCTTGGTTTCCCTCAGTGACCTTCACTGAGCCTCCTTCATGTGTTTCTGTTCTGCGGAATTGTTTTTTTTAATAATATATATATATTATAATTCATTTTAATGTTTTGACCATTAGCTGCCTGAACTGAGTAGAAAGGCAGCATTAAAATGTTCTAAATAAATAACATGGGTAAATGCAACAAATATATGAATCTATTTTCCCATGAAAATCACCTCCAATTATAAATTTTCCTTCTGAAAACTTATAAGGTACACTAGATAGCTTCAAAATTCTAACAAAGACACTTCTTAGTTTCTTCAAAGAGACTCTTTATCATTAAATATCTCCCATATGGATAAGCCTTGACCACTTCTGCAATAATCATATAAATCAGTCAGCTCTAACTGGTCCACGAGAAACCGGCCAGTTGTTCACCAGTTCACAATTGATCTTCTGCCAACTCCTGCTTGAAGAAAAAAATAAGGCAAACTATATGCCTTTTTTAATATTATAAAATACAAACATTCATTTCAGTAGAATATACAACAGCAAAATGTCCATAATCAAATAAAGGTTTGGGTTTTCTGATGTGTGCACACAAGGGCTTTAAAACCCATGTAGGCAGTCCACACAATTGTTACATTTTTGTTCTGCCCTTTCTACATAGAGCTCAGAGCAGTATATATAGTTCTCCATTCTTCTTTTTATCCTCACAATCATCCTGTGAAATAGATTAAACTGAGATAGAATGACCAGTCTGAGATCACCCAGTAAAATCATGGCGAACAGGGATTGGAGCCTGTCTCTCCAGACCTAATCTAACCCTTTGACCAGTATACCTCACTTTGTGAATTTGTCAGAACAGCAGTGTTCACACACAAGTATTCCACAGATAGAGTGGTTGCCCTTATATATGCTAATAAACAAAGATATGCCTTGAGTCAGGATGGTTAATGGAAGAGGCAAGATATAAATATTTTTAAGGAAAAACATTGACTGGGACTCCAAACAATGACTCTGAACATATGCTGAGGGCTGAACACGTGGTAGTACTTATAAAAAAAGAGCTTCCTGAACGGCTGAATCCTCTCTTTGAAGTTCTACTGAATGCACAGACCTATACATCTCTAGAATAAAGCTATTGCTCCTGTCGTAACATTTTAAGTTAACTCCATTAAGTCAAAAATGACTTAGGCCCTGTCCACACGAGGGGTTTTGGGCCAGGAGTGGGCCGGATCGGGGCCGGAGCAAACGGGCGCGATCCCACTGCAACATCTGGGCAGCATTGCGCACCCGTCCCCGATCCGGCCCTTCCCCCAAAGAGACACATCAAAAATGAACCATCTACTGAGGTGGTTCATCCACGATGGTCGCATCAAGGCCGGCCGTGGGATCGCCGGCCCGTCTTTCTGCCGGCGCATCCCCGGCTCCTGCCTGAACTACGCATGCTCAGACATGCGCAGTTCGGCAGTCTCCCGTTCCCCTCCGTCACTTCCCCCGGCATCTGATCGTGCCGGGGAGGGAATGTGCCATGGCTCAGGGGATCAATGTGATCCCGCCGCGGCGTGGTTTTTTTGGTGCAGCTTTCAGAAGCCGCGCTTCAGCCCGTCCCTTTCTGCCCCGTGTGGCAGGGGCAATAGTGCTTATTTACTCATACCTAAAAGTCTGAACTATTGTAAAAGCACCAAAAGAAAAACACCAGTGACCAATGAATATAGCCACATACCAACAAATGGCAATAATCTTTTATGCATTAAAATATGGCATATCACATGGTCTAAAACTATAAAAGCAGAGATTTGCAGCTTTTATTTTTCTTATATGTATTTTAGAAACTAACTGGGAAGCTACATGAGAAAACAATACACTGTAAAAGAGGATTTCTAGATACAAGAAGTACAAATGTTATGACTTCATCAAAAACTGCAATACTGAAGGAGCAACATGAGAGAATCAAACTATCCACACCAAAAATACTAACACGTCTTGGGATCTTTCTAAGCCACAGGCAAAACAATTTCTCATTATTACAATAAGTATTGTTTCACCAGAGACAACCAAATTAATTACCACACCATTTGAAAACCTTCAGGCTCCTTTCTCAGTAGGAATCAAATGCCAATAATGCCATTTTCACCATATGATTTAAGTTTTTCATAACTGATATTACAACAAAGATATTCCTAGATGGGAGCACTCTCTCTTGAGTGGAACAGGTCAACTTTAATTGGAACTGTCTACATCTGAACACTCAGAAAAGGCAGCAATTCTCCTTGGTCTCTGAAAGCTCTATCCGCATCTAAGAAGAAACTCTGTGTTAAGGGCACCCTTATTTCAATCGCACTCATTTGGCATCTGAAGCAAGGTAAGACTGTTGGCTCCTGCCTCCAAAAGCACCAGTCTTTTCCTTTTTACACCTTAATTCAATCAGCATACCTAAGCATTGTATACAGATATGACACTGCCTTATACAAAGTTAGTGCATCAAGTCCCAAACTGGAGAGCAGCATGCCAAGATCTTAGGCACAAAGCTTTCCCAAACATGCCATCTAAGGGCCAAACTACATGTTACATTTATTAAGTGATCACCACAGAGACTTGCAGCAGGGCACCAGGTGCAAGTTTATTTATGGGAACTCAGTTCAGAAGTGATTTGTATCAGGACCACAGCACAGACAAGGATAGGATCCCTCCCTTCCCCTGCTTGTTTTTATTTATGTAAAACATTAATAAATTTTATTTATGTATAACATTAATTAAGGAACTCAAGGCAGTTTACAATGTAAAAATGAAGCAAGATACATAAAAATCACAATTTAAAACCACAATTTAAGACAACCAATAGAGAAAAAAACTAAATTAATTAAATGTCATCCCAAATAAAACCGTCTTCAACTGCCTCCTAACGATCGAAAGTCAGGGCACCGGGTGCATCTCCCTGGAGTTGTTCCATAATCATGGTGCTGCCACCAAAAAGGCCCTTTCTCATATGCCCACCAGACAAGCTTCTCTGGTGGGAGAGTCAAGAGGAATTCTCCCTGTGATCTTAATTTCTGGGCGGGAACTCGTGGGAGAAGATGGTCCCTCAGATACTCTGTTCCCTTCTCCCAGCCCTAAATAGCCCACTGGACTGTTTCAGGTTGGGAAAACAGCACAGGAGTAAGGAAATAGTCCCTCTTGCCTCTGCCAGACCTCAAAGGAGGAGATACATAATCACATAATGGCAGTCTCTGTAATTATACCATTCAATTTAGCACAGCATGATCATTCTATTATCACCTTTCAGATTTTCCACATAAATGTCTCAGGGAGAAAGGTGGACTATAAATAACCAAACAACAAAAATAACAATAATAAATGGAGAATTCTGGGCATTGCTATTGGTTCACAAGGCGAAAAACGGTTTTAGCTGTATAGAATTTTAAAGAGAACCAAAGGAGGAGGAAGTGGATAGGCTTTTATCTTATTCTAGCTCTAATAGTACTTCACTACCACCATAACAAATTATGATAGACTTTCCATTCATTCTGTGCACTACCTACTGCTAACTGGACGCAGTATTGTTAGGCCTGTCACTGTTTTTCCAATGTTCCTTGCTTTTTAATGCCTCATCCCTTACACCAGTGGTTTTCCAACTTTTCCAACTTTAGCAACCCAATGACTCCATTCCAAGCTAAACGTTTTGCAGGCCACCAAGCCCTACCTTCCTCCCTTGCCAGCAGACACCAGGCAGCCCCTTCTCAAAGGCGATGAAGTAAGCCGCATATGCCTGATGGAGCTCTTGCATCCCCAAACCAATACAATGAGACCCTTACCAGCAATGTATTAAAAGCTTTAAAAAAATGTCTTTATTGTCTGCATGCGATCTATAACGACACATCATGAGGCAACTGATCCTACAGGGACACAATTCAAAAGGCCCTGACCCAATCCCTCTACAGCACAGATACAGACAAATATATATATGTTAACAACCTCTAGCTACAGGCCAGCTAAACAGGAGAGGGAAGGAACCTGGAACAACTTTCAGAAGTGCTCTGGCAGGAACATTAAACTTGACTTTCCGGTAGTTGGTCACTGGCTATTGTTGTCAATGGAAGGAGAATAACATCTCTCTCGATGCTGAGAGAAAATCAATTATATACCACAAATAAGTATGATAACTCCATGAGACTGTACCTCCACTCAACCAATTGGAGCTCCTAGGGCTGAGCTATTGGGGTTCCCAGCAATCAATCAGTGTGTTTTATGGGCAGGGCTCTGAGATGATTTTAAAGTCAGGTGACAGGGGGTGGCAACAGCTCCGTGAGCTTCCCCCCCCCCTTTCGAGGAGGGGGAAAAATTCCACTCCCTTCCCCGGAGGCAGAGAGTCCCTGCCCTTTTCCCAGGGCACTGAGAGGCCTCCATTTTAACACTAGCATGGCTAGAGAAGAGCTGACCCTCTGTCTTTCACAAAGGACTCAGTATGGAGTATGGGCAGGCACCCCAGTTTAAGAAACGCTGCTCTATGCCTGTCCTCCCACAGAGCATGCCGGCAGCAAAACGTCCAGGCACGACCACTTCTCAGTCATTATATTAGCATTACTACACGCTTGCCACCTGCGCACGGCTGTCCTGTGCCTATCGGTCCGAACACATCCGAGCAAACGCGCAATGGCTCTCGCGGCGGCTGCGCCCAGAGATCGTTATCTGTTGTTATGTGTAACAACACAAGACTTAGTAGAGGAGTCCGTGAGTAATGCCTTCCACCCTCAACAGAGACACCTCCCTGTCAGCGGGAGAAAAGAGCGCTGATTAACCCTGGCAAGCGACGAGGCCTTCCGCGCCAGGCTGCTACGGCAGCTGGAGCCACACTCACAGGCGCCAGGCCACAACCCACTCGGAGCCGCCTCAGCATCGCGGAAGGGGCGGGCGGGGGGAGCGAAAAGCAGCCTCCTTCCGCCTCACGGTCCACTCTTCCTTCCTGCATGTCACCCTCTTCCACCTGCAGACCCCCTCGGCGCGGAGGCCACTCCCGCAACTTCTTTCTTCCCCACCTCAGTCCCGTCCCACGACCAGCCCTCTGCCACACACCAAAAGGCAGCCTCCTGTCCCGGCACGGCTGCGGCAGAACCCCCCACATCCCACTTTCACTCTCCCTTCAACCCTGAATGGGCAGCGGAGGAAGGGGCCTATCCGCGGCCTGCGGGCAGGGAAGGAAGGCGGCTGCCTGCTGGGTTAATAACCAAGATCGGGGAGGGGGGAGGGGAGCCAGCCCGGCAAACTGGCACGCGGCGGAGCGGGGGGGGGGGGTCTCGCTGCTGTCGCGGCCACCCCACTCAAGCAAGCGCGGGGGTGGCTCCCTCATTGCCGCTGGGCCGGCTCCGGAAAGTGCAGCCACCTCCCCATGCCGCCGCCACTGCTGCTGCTGGTGGTGGTGCCGCTGCTACCTCAGCAGCCTACTCTGCAGCAGAGGCGCGCAAGCCATCCCTGCCTGCCTGCCTGCCTGCCTGCCCGCCCATCTTCTTACCCTCTGTAAAATCCTCCTAAACATCGTGGCAGAGGTCACGTCCCCCCTCTAGGATGAGGGCTCAAAGCGGGCTCCGGAAGGCCATCTCTAATCCCAGTGGTGGTGGTGCCTCCCCAGCGGCCCGGCCCAACTCGTCCTGTCGCTGGCTGACAGCGGAGGGAGCGGGAGGCGGGGCCTCCGCGGCCGAGACCGCCCTCTGCGCTGACTGACTGCGAAAGGGGCGGAGGAACGTCGAGTTGTCCGCGGGAGGCCCGTGGAGCCCGCGAGGGGCGGAGGAGGAGGGGGGTCGGTGGAGGGTGACTGACATCGACGTGGGGGATGGGTTTCCCAGGCCGGCCCTCGCGGTAACGAGGGGGTTTCGCGTTTGGGGGCGCTTCTGGTCGATCCTCCCGACTGATGGGGAGCGGGGGGGGGGGAAGGGAATGGAGGGCGCCTGGGGGCAGCCGGGGGAGCGCGTGTAGGCCAGCCCTTTGCCTTGACTCCGGCGCCGTCTCAGAGGACTCCGCGCCAATAAGGGCCTCTCCCGCCAGCGGACAAGCGAGAGTGACAGGAGATGAGGATCCATGCTTGTTGGGCTGTAGAAGAGAGGCCGGACGGGGCACGGAGTCTGGTCCGAGGTTCACTTTCCTGCCAGCTTTGGGGTTAGCAGGATGCCGGAGGACCTCGAGGAAGGTCCTCAGAAGCTGCTGCTAGTCAAAATAAGATGTGCTGGACTGGATGAAGCGCTAGTAGGAGGAGGGTGTCATGCAGCTTTAGATGTACGAACGGGAGTTATCAAAGGATTCTTCAATCCCCCGCTTCTCTCATTTTAACTCTTTCCATCCCAAATGTATGCACTTTAACTTGCTCAATTTTGATCTGAAACATAGCTTAAGACAGTGAATGGAAAGGTTTGGGACAGATGCATAAGTACCAGAGAAGGGCTTAGCTTCAGGCAGATTTACCAAGAATTATTCCAAGCGAGGAACCCCCTGTATCCCCCTCATCACTCGACTTATTTTTTCCCTCCTCCCGGCCACCCCCATATCATCTCTGCTTTCTTCTCTCCCTTCCACCCACAACGTTTCTTGCTCCCATAGACTCCAGCTGTAGTTATTATTTATTTAATTCAATTGTATCCTGTCCATCTCCCCAATAGGGACCCACCCAAAGTAACTTATATCATTCTCCTCTCCTCCTTTTTAGCCTCACAACAAGCCTGTGATGTAGCCTATGCTTAGCATGAGCGACAAGCCAAAGGTCATCCAACAAGCTTTCATGGCATAGTGGGGATACAAACCTGGGTCTTCCAGATCCTAGGCTGAATCTGCATTTGTCTTTCCCACTGGTGTCCCAGTCTTTTGACTCAGTCTTCAAAAAAGTTGTCTACATTTGGTGTTGTTTTCACACCTCAAGAGTGCTAGCATACTTTTGCATGTCCACATATGTTTATCATCCTTTCGGGGCGGCTCCACTGTCATTGCCCCTTTGCACTGCTTTAAAGAATCTTCTCCAAACAACATTCAAACAAGCATAGAGAAAGACGGCGTCACAGCAGCATGAAACTAATTTAAAAATGCAGATTCGACCCTAGTCTGATACTCTTACGCCGCAGTGGCTGCTGTCAAATAGTTGACTTCAGTGGGCCTCAGTAAGTTTGTGTGGTAGTGAGCCATCTGGTGGTTGCTGCCAGGCCTGGCCCCAATGAGTCCTTCCTCCAGGGCCAACATAGCCCTGAAAAGAACCCTGCACCCCTCACCTTTATTAGCAGAAATTAAGGTTTGAAGGCTGGCAGTATTGTTGTGATTGCCTGGCAACCCCCCACAATGGCCATGATGAGGACATTCATTTCTTAAAGGTACAGGCACTACTTCTATTTTGGGTTTTTAAGACATGCTGTGTTGTTGTCTTTTAAATTTGAGATATTTCTGCAGAACATCATTGTCCATTCCGTTGTTTTATTCTCACAACAACCCTGTTAGGTAGGTAAGGGTGAGAGTGTGTGACTGGACCAAAGTGAGCTTCCGTGGCAGAGTGGAGATTCAAACTTGGATCTCCCAGCCTGATCTGAAACTCTGGGGACTAAACAGTACGGGCTCTCATGGGGTGGCTGCTGTTGAACAGCAGGAAGCAGCCATGCCTTCCCCCATGACTTTTACTGACAGAAACCAAAGCCTGAAGGCTGTCAATACTGTTGTGATTGCCTAGAAATGGCCACTAAGGGCTATTATTTCTTAAAGCTATATGTACCATTTGTATTATTTTGGAAGATTTAAAAAAAAAGATTTTAGCTTAAAAAAAAAGATGTCAGGTTTTTGTTTTTGTTTTTTAAAAAAAAGATTTGGGGGGCATTTTGTGTCTCAGTTGTTCATAGATCCAGTCTCTGAATTTAAGTATCCACAGATTTGGCCACGTTCATTATTAGATATATACACAGAACACTTCAAAATAACATAAGAAAAGGAGTGCACAGTCTACCTTTAGCCAATTTGGGAGTGTGGGGTAAGAAAGATAAAGGATAAGAGGAAACTCTAACATGGAATACTGTATATGTGAGCAAATCCTGTTAAACATCTGTAAACTTAATTTCAAGTGGGCCTTGAGATGCAAGAAGGTCTAACGAAGTAGAAAGGATAACATGCAAAGTACTTTAGCACAGTATTGGAGACTGTACTCAGCTTTGCATAGCAAGGACTGAAGGAAGGGCTTCCATGTACAACTATGCAACTACAATCAACATTTCTCACACCAGAAATTAAATAGCACAGAACACTAATATTTTCAAATCTGAGTTGATTAATTTTTCTGAAACTGTGATGATAGTAGATCCAGTTTGTTGTAGTGGTTAAGTGCGCGGACTTTAATCTGGGAGAACCGGGTTTGATTCCCCACTCCTCTACTTGCACCTGCTGGATGACCTTGGGCAAGCCATAGTTCTGATAAGAGCTGTCCTTGAAAAATAGCAGTTTCTGTCAGAGCTCTCTTAGCCCCACCTACCTCACAGGGGGTCTATTGTGGGGAGGGGAAGGGAAAGGAGTTTGTAAGCCGCTCTGAGACTCCTTTGGGTAGTGAAGGGCGGGGTATAAATCCAATCTCTTCTTCTCTTCTTCTATATGGTTATTTCTGCATAAAGAATTCCAGTTCTAAACTTTCTATATTGTCATTAAACTAAATCTTAAGTTTAAAAACTTGGCTGCAGTTCCATTTGAGCCATACAGGGCTAATATAAAGCAGGCAATAGGGTAAGTGTAGTTATAGGAGCTAGACTATGAGCCATACATGTTATGATGGCCATGGGTTTAACCGGTGACTGTCATTCAACACCATTTTACAGGAGAATTTTACCATTTAAAAAGTGCTGGGCCCACAGTGTAGCGGGGACAGGCAGTCTTGTTTCCTCCACCCCCAGGTGCACCATCTCAAGTACCAAAACAGGCTATTTTGGCACTTGAAAAAGCACAGGAAGAAACAAGATTGCCTCCCCCCCACACACCCATGGTCAAATGGCCGCCCTAACATGTAGTTTGGTTCTGGGTAAAACAGGATAAGTAAGCAGTGAACTGTTCTGTTGCTCAGAAAATTTGAATCTTATTATTTTATATTAACAATATGACAACATACTGAATTCAACACTTTGAACACCTTGTAAGTTGTTATGTTTTGCTGTCCAAAAGGAAATTATATAGCATAGGAAGAAGAAAGCTAGATACAAGATGTAATTAACACCTGAACTAAGAAAAGAAATTGAATACTTCTCTCTGTTAATAGAGTAGAACTGGAGATGCTAAGTTTTTTGATTTGCCTGTTTTCTTTTTCTTTTTTTTTTAATTGTATTTTTCTATCCAGGTAAGAGAATGAGCACACTTTCTTCTTTTATATATGCACACTATAAACATGCAGTGAATTAAAAATAACCCAAAACCGCAGACATTCCCTGCCATACAATCTTTGTTTTCTGTCCCTTCAAACATACTTGAAATCATCGGGGGAGGGAGTGTGAGGGAAATTGAGGTTGGCTAGTTAATCACCAGGGAGGTCTGCAAAGCCTTGTAGAACGATGGTTTTAACAACACCTTCAGTGAACAAATGCATAGAAACCAGCCAAAGGAAAATTGCTAGAGCTCCTGTTCCACTCGTACTTAAATTTTTATAAGTTCAGAAACAAATTAATTCTGAACTGCAGAATACACAATGTTGACAGTATAGAATGTTTCAGACTTGTATTTTACTGACACTGCTATATCATTTCTATGTTGAAAAATTAGCTTTTGGGAAGCAAGAAGTCCCGGAGTATACTTTAACTGTTGCATACTTTATAAAAAAGCTTCTCTTATGTGTGTGAAAAAATAACAGAGCTGAGATTAGAGTCTGCCCCCCCAAAAAAAATATTAATTGAAATATTTCTGCATTTATCAGAGCGTAAAAGCATTTAATTGTTGGTTTCTTAGAAGAGAGTAAATCCAAGTACAAACTCTGTAATTCATATGGTGTATTATAATATTTTGATAACTGCAACCAGATCAGATAGAATATTCCAAGTGCAACTTAACTTCATGCAAATAAATTAATATTTCTAAAGTAAATATTTCTAAAACAACTGCAACATTGAAGATGTACTCATTGAATAGGGTAAAGGTTTCCCTTGCTCGAAAGTTAATCGAATCTGACTCTAGGGTTGCAGTGCTCATCTCCGTTTCCAAGCCGGAGAGCCACCGCTGTCCGAAGACATTTCTGTGGTCATGTGGCCGGCATGACTAAATGTCGAGGCACATGGAATACAGCCATTTAAATTGCATTTCTAAGTAGCATTGCTTTTACAGCTGTGAATCCATGAATACATCTTCACACAAAAAATAATTTTTAGGGATGTGCATTGGGACCTTACTAATCAAAATCAAAATCAGTTCACTTTAATATACCAAAATCCAATTTCTAAAAATAATGACAATTGGTAATTTCCAGTACTCACAGTAGCATGAGAGGGCAGCAAGGGGGGGAGAGTGAATCAGCAGATAATCTAAGCAACAAGAGTACCTTCCAATACCAGTAGAAGAGTTAGCTGATATTAGAACAGCAGCAGATGTCCCTGTTTGTCCCTGAACTAAAAACAAAAAGATTATATGTGTTCCACCTGTTCCAGTGCCATGGCCCTGAT